CAGGATCATTTAGATTGCACAATGATAATATAATATGTATTGCATATAATCAATGTAAATAGTATCAGTAGAGTATACATGCATTATGCTAGGATTCATGTTTGCCACTCAGAGTATTAGCTAACCTCAGGTAATGCCATCACTGATAGCTCTTGTTTTAATTCAATTGTTTCCTAATGTACAAGTAAAACAACATCAAAAATTTATCTGCAAATTTCTCAAAATTTTACACTATAATGTGCTTTTTAGCTATACATGTACAGTATATGTACCTTCTCTTTGCTACTGATAGCATCTCTTAGTCTACATTCAGCTTCTTTAAGTATAATATAAGAAATAACCTGAATAAATGAAAGTATGCCGTATAGTGAGAAATTTTGGAGGGGCTAAAATTTGGTGAATTACTAAACTTTGGTGATTAGCGGATTTTTAATTTGGTAAATTTGTGGCCACATGCCATTGAGCATGCATATAATGGCTCAAAATGGCAGATTTTATTTTGCCAAATGGCTATCAAAACGCCAAATTTGCCAAATTTAATCCCCTCCAAAATTTCCCACTATATGGTATAACATGTAAAGTAAGCATATTGCATGCATCACCCATAATACAATTAATGTACAGTTGATATTAATGCTAATTTTATTCGCCTTTTAGCAATATTCATTACCATGCACTAATACATGTATATCACGCACTACAGTTATGGTCAGACCTCATTATGATGTAGTAAGTCTTGATCCTTTCCTTTTAGTTCCTATACAATACAATATTCATAAAAATAATATTCAATTATTCATGTACCTTTTGTCTAACATCTTGTCTCCTCCATAATGTTAAGTTACCAATAGTCAGTTTCTTTAATCCTTGTCCCATTAGTATATGAATATTCTCTATCATCCTCAATACAGTAAACCCAACATCAGAGAAAGGAAAGGAGCAAGTGACAGATATTGAAGTGGAGGTTTCTATATACTTAATGATCAGTAGTTTACCCGATACTTTTGACAGTATATCCTTAATATCATTCAGGACATGTTCCTCTGGCTCCCAGTCAAAGATAAAAGTAACTGTTTGACATTGAAGATGAGGAACGGAATTAAATCGCTCCTTCAAACAGAGGGTGATGGAGAGTGACTTGCAAACTTCAATCAACTTTGTTCTATATGTCTTAATGTGTTCCTCCGCCTCAGTGATCTTCATTTCCTCCACTATGCTATGTAGTAGCTCAATATTAGTCAGTGAGCACTCGTTTTTAACATGACGAAGGATGATAGAAATATCTGAACATTTGTTGACTTTCTTGCTAAGGGAGCTACTGTAATAAAAAAGGAACTTCTTGATGTCTGCAACTTTCAATTTCTGTTCCAAAATCTTGCAAACATTGTAAAACATTCTCACATAAGACATCCTTATGGAACTAAAATTAGCAAGCAAATTTTTTGGAATAGGTATATGTACTTCAGCTAAAAAATACATGTACACTCATCATTATTATTAGTATTAATCATTAAGTTATACCTTGAGATGATAAAGGTTGAGAAGAGGAATTACTAGAAACTTCTGCATTAGAAGGAGACATATCTAAAAATGGCATAGCAAATAACGAACATAATTTTGTTAATATGATACTTATCTAAACAATAAGTTCATGCTAAGTTACCAAATGCAGACTGTGTATTAGTTGGTATCTTGGTTTCATCAGTACTTGCATTATCTATAAATATTAATGAATGTATTATCACTTCTAAAAAGTATACCTTGTGTAGCTACATCATGATCCTTAATAGTCTCAGGAGCCACATCCACTTCAGGAGTAAGAAAATACTTACCTAAACACATAATAATTTATAAACCAGTATAAATAACAACTCAAGATATTGTAAGGATACAGTGGTCATATTATATACTCACTAATATCATCCAGTATAGTTTGTCCTAGTGATACATTAGTACTTATTGTACACAATACATTAGCAAATGTATGTAAACTGTTGGGATCAGTTTGAACAGCTTCCTTGACAGCAGTTAATAGAGCCTCACGTTGATTAGGAATAGAGGGACTAGCTGACACCACTCTACTAACTGCTTCTTGTGTTAACATACGTTCAGCATAAAGTAACCCAGCAATACCAACAGAATCACAAAGAGACCGAGACAGGACAGTATGATGATTATTAAAAATATTAATAAGAGCATGATGCTCTATGATAAAAAATACAATGATTATAGTTACATACATTGTAAGTTATGGTTGACTCACTTAACTTTTCAGCTACAGCAGTTTCATTCATAGATCGTAGAGCATCTGACAGTGAGTCCAAGTTGGCTCCTCCTCTACTCTCAACATTATCAACTCTACCTAACCATTGGGAGAGGCACTCTGTCATACAACGAGATACATCATGAGGATGATTCTTTTCTATGGCATCCAGTGTATTCTTTTTTAGTCCTAGTCTCAGTCCAAGCTGATGCCATTTTGTTTCTGGGAAGCCACATCTCTGCAACAAGTCAAGAACATCAGCAAGATCATCAACACCTAGACTGCAGAAGGGGCGTGACCAGACTACAGCAGACATGTACAAAGCATTGAAAGCAAGGCAAAAATGCAAAATCGACGTTGAGACTAAGCTTAAGCTTACCTAAACAATTTGCAGCCATAGTGTATCCCTCTGTATGTCAAATTTTAGTCAGTTCCCCCGGACTCCTCGATCGCTCCAAATCTCCTAGTGGGAGCCGGCCTGCATCTCGGCCTGCATGCACTGAAGTATACTGGGGCGGGGTTAGTCCATAGTAATTAGTAATCATTGATAGTTCCACCACTCCAAACCCAAAGACAATTCACAAAGTCATGCCAAACTTCTGAAGTTCGTGAAATTCCAGCAATCCTGGTATCATCACAACCCAAAGAATAAACTAGCTCTAGATGAATTCTTATGAAAGAAAAGAAGGATAAAAATGTCGAAACTTGACATAAAGCCTTGCATAAAGTGATGCTGATACAAAGAGTAAAGAAACACCCACTGACCGAGCCACTGACACTGTTTCACAAGGTGATACGAATGACAGCAAAGAAGAAAAACCATAGTGATTCCAAAATAACCCAAAATATACTTATGCTGTAGATATAGAAAGTTTGAACTGATTCCGACTTCAATTTTAAAGTTATGGCCATTTTAAGAAAACGCCTAAATTCTGAAAAATACCCTTGGTTTTTTTCCAAAAAATGGCTCCAAAATCACCCTAAATTTTACTACATTTTCTGATACATAATTGATGTCTTTATGCTATGTGCCAAGTTTGAGCTGATTCCAACAATTAATTTTAAAGTTATGAGCATTAAAGAATGCAATTGCATAAGTCCATCAATGTACATACGGGGCAATGAGTTTAGGTAAGATGGGATATTTGTCTGATGCATCAGAATTTTTATAATTTGCATACATGTATATCAGAAAATGTAATAGAAATACCTATTGACGTTTTTTGGCTATAGCTCATGATTTTGTCTCATAGTATTAACCATGGCAATAGCCCATCCTATTTTTAAATAATTTTATAATTTGTGCAGGAAGTTTTTTATTATACTGCCATTTGAAGTTTACAAATAATACTAAAGATAATTCATTGCAGTTTTGATAGATATCAATGTTTTTATGCTACGTAGAAGTATGCAAGTTTTTTAGTTCATGAAGCATCTGAACATACATGTACATGTACATGTATTGTTTATTTATAGAAAAAAGCTAAAGCTGGAAAGAGAAGACGAACCAACCCAGAGGTACTAGTACAGTATTGCTATACTTAACCTTTGTTGCTTTCCTTAGGTGCCATTTGCTGCTGCTTTAGAGAAGATTGTTAATAAACTGAGTGCTGTCCAAGAGGTGAGTGAGAAAAAGTAGAATGAAGGGAGGAGTAGTGTTTCTTCTCTTTTTTAGTATTGGCCTTTTTGTAAACCGGTTTCTTCAAAAGATGTACCTGACTATTATAATTTGATAAAGTTTTCAATGGATCTTCAGACCATGAAAGATGTAAAGGAGAGAAAGAGAGGGAGAGAGAGAGAAAGAGAGGGAGGGAAAGAGAAAGAGAGAGGGTAATGGTTAATGCAAAAAATGAAACTACCCATAATTCATGCATCAAACAATGTAATAATAACAGTACATCAGCCACACTCATAATAGCCACACCTAGCAAATAATTAGAACATGGTCGCTCTTAAGAAGCACATAGTGATTACAACCCAAATTTTTATTACATTTTCTGATACATATTGATATCCTTATGCTGTTTAGCAAGTTTGAGCTGATTCTGACTTAAATTTTTAAAGTTACGACCATTTTAAGAAAACGTCAAAATTCTAAAAAATACCCAAGGCTATAGCCCATGGTTTTTTTTCAAAAAATGGCTTCAAAATCACCCCAAATTTTTATTAAATTTTTTGATGCATATTAATGTCCTTGTGTTGTGTAGCAAGTTTGAGCTGATTCCAACTTCATTTTTTCAAGTTACGGCCATTTTAAGAAAAGGTCAAAATTCTCAAAAATACCCAAGGCTATAGCCCATGGTTTTTCGAAAAATGGCTCCGAAATCACCCCAAATTTTTATTACATTTTCTGATGCAAATTAATGTCCTTATAAGTTTGAGCTGATTCCAACAAATAATTTTGAGTTTATGAGCATTAAAAATGTTGCCATCGCACAAGTTCATCAATGACATTAGAAAATGTATTAGCCATGGCAATAGCACATGCTGTTTTTCAATATTTTTTATTGTTTGTGCCAGAATTTTTTTTCTATTTTGAAGATTACAAATAATACTAATGTTAATTCATTGCAGTTCTGATAGATATCAATGTTTTTATTTTATGTAGACTATGTTAAGTTTTTGAGTTACTACATGTATGTACACTCATTTTTATTATTTCAGAATATTCGTAAGCACAAGTATGAGACAAGGCAGCAGTTTACGGAGCATGTCAATCTAATTGTTAACAATTGCATCACTTATAATGGATTCAACTCTGAACTAACAAAAACTGCCCAAAGGATGTTGGAAATGTCTAACAAAGAAATAAATCAAGTAAGTACTTCAGTGTTATAATGTAATGGCATGATTATAATGAGTGGTCTTTGTTGTAGAACAGTCAAGCTCTTGAGAAACTAGAGCATGAGATTAATCCACTGCTGGGAGATGATCCACAAGCTGCTCTGTCCTTCCTTTGTCGTAAATCCATTGAAAGAATGAAAGCAGTACCTAATGTGAGTGATATGAGACTTAATTTTTCATTGTACACAGTATAACTGTGCTTAATTATTATTATGTTATGTCTGTATTGCTTTTTTATAGTCTTGGCCATTTCATTTTCCAGTATCTTCTAAGAAGTTACCAGATTATAGAATGATCATAACTAAACCAATGGACCTTCAGACCATG